GAACAGGATTAGCGCAGACTGGGTGGGTCACCAACGACAGACAGAAACCTCTCGCTCTCGGTTCTGGAGGCTGGGAAGTCCAAGGTCAAGGCCGCGGTAGATTTGGTGGCAAGTGAGGGCCCGGTCAGTTCCTGCTGCCTTGTTTTTTTGTGTTTTTTTTGAGACAGAGTCTCACTCTGTTGCCCAGGCTAGAGTGAGTGCCGTGGCGTCAGCCTCGCTCACAGCAACCTCAAACTCCTGGGCTCAAGCGATCCTCCTGCCTCAGGCTCCGAGTAGCTGGGACTACAGGCATGCACCACCAGCCGGCTAGTTTTTTCTATATATTTTTAGTTGGCCAATTAATTTCTTTCTATTTATGGTAGAGACGGGGTCTCTTGTTCAGGCTGGTCTCGAACTCCTGACCTCAAGCAGTCCTCCTGCCTCGGCCTACCCCGCAATCCCCCGCCTTCCCCGCTCCCAGAGTGCTAGATGACAGGTGTGAGCCACCGCGCCCGGCCCCTGCTGCCTTGTAGCCGGGTGCTCACACAGCAGAATGACAGTCGAGCTCCCTTAGGTCTCTCTGATGAGGACAGCTTCAGCCCATGCAAGGGCCTCTCATGACCTGGCCCCTCCCACAAGGCTCCACTCGGCCCAATGCCATCGCCTCTCGGTTCAGGGTTTCCACTTGGGAGTTTGGGGGCAGGCACCAACACTCAGACCCTGGCATCGGCTGAGCTGCTGCGGTGACCTGCCCATCGGAAGGGCAGACGCTGGGATGGGATTCGACCCACCTGTCCGTTCAGTAGACAGAGAGGCTGTATCATGCACCAGGCCACGCTCCAGGTCCTGGAGATGCCGCAGAGACTAACTACTGTGTCATCATAGCACTTCCGGGAGAATAAACAACACAACACACCACACACACCACACACCACTTAGGCTCATGCAATGCAAAGCAGTGCTGAATTTCCCCAAAAATTAGACAGGGTCTTATATTTATTTTCCCTCAAGAATGACACCCCTAGGCTTATTTTCAGGGGATTGTTATTTTATTTTATGTACGGTACAACCATCTACATTGTCAAATAGAGTGAAGCCGTTCGTCTTCTGGAACATCATCATCACTCTTTCAAACCCCGAATCCTGCATCCTAAGTCTTGGCGACGTCTTATTTCCTGTTAGGATCTACTGGACAATCCTCCTGTGAGCAACTAGAGCTGTCATGGGGCAAATGAGAAGGGCTGCCTCGTGTTCATTTCCCGCTCTGCATCGACATGCATGGGTTGTGCCAGATGCACTGCGTAGCCACGCCATCACTAGGGCTTATTTTCATAGCCGCCCATCACTAGGGCTTATTTTTTATTCATAGCCACGGCCCATTCTAGGGCTTATTTTCATAGCCTACACCATCACTATGGATTATTTTCATAGCCACACCCATCACTAGGGCTGATTTTCATATGGCCACGCCCACCACTAGGGCTGATTTTCATAGCACGCCCAGACTAGGGCTTATTTCATAAGCACGCCCAGCACTAGGCGCCTTATTTTTGGGTAGGGCCGTGTCTATTGTGCCACATGCCTAGGACATCCTTCTGGGGGCTCATTTATAGGGAAGGTCTTATTTTCGGGAAACATACTGGGAAGAAAATGCCGCATGTTTGGGGGCAGTGTGGTGGACAGGCGCCGTCACGTCAGGGTGGATTCTTTCTCCCGGGCTTATTTTCATAGCCACGCCCACCACTAGGGCTTATTTTCGGGGTAGGGCTTCTATTGTGCACATGCCTAGACATCCTGCTGGTGCTCATTTTATGGGGAGGTCTTATTTTCGGGGAAACATGCTGGGAAGAAAATGCCACATGTTGGGGGGCAGTTGGGGGACAGCCGCCGTCAGGGTGGGCAGGAAGACTTCTCAGAGGAGCTGGCTTTTGGGCAGACCCTTAATCAGAGTGAGGGAGACAGTAGCAATGTCGTGTTTGGGAACAAGACTTGCTGGGTGCAGACCTTGAGTCTGGTTCCTCGTTATATTAACTTAAGACAAATTACTGAACCTCGTAGACCTCTACTTTCTCTTGTGAAAAATGGCAATATCAGAAACCTACCTTAGGCCGGGCATGGTGGCTCACGCCTATCATCCCAGCACTCTGGGAGGCCGAGGCGGGCGGATTGCTCGTGGTCAGGAGTTCAAAACCAGCCTGAGCGAGAGCAAGACCCTTGTCTCTACTAAAATTAGAAAGAAATTAATTGACCCACTAAAAATATATATAGAAAAAATGAGCCGGGCATGGTGGCGCATGCCTGTCGTCCCAGCTACTACTTGGGAGGCTGAGGCAGGAGGATCGCTTGAGCCCAGGAGTCTGAGGTTGCTGTGAGCTAGGCTGACACCACGGCACTCGCTCTAGTCTGGGCGACAGAGCGAGACTCTGTCTCAAAAAATAAATAAATAAGTAAATAAATAAACGTGCCTTAAACACTTGAGCGATCAAATGAGTTTGCATGTAGAAACTTCTTGCAGCAGGGGGTTGCCATGTGTCACGTTGCCATGGTGGCTGTGTCTCTGGGGGGACGGGTCCCAGGCTGTGGCTTCGCTGGTAGGACGAGGGGTTCGGCTCTCCTAACGGGACCGAATCCCGTTTTCGTGGGGACCTTGGGTGTCGGTTTGGCGACAGTTTTTCTCTGTCCCGTGTGGAATTCTGATGTGTGTTTTGCACCCCACGCGGGGCTGCGAGCCGCGCGCCGAGCTCCTCTTCCACGTCTCTCTCTCTCCCACGTCTCTCTCTGTGCCACGTCTCTCTCTGTGCCACGTCTCTCTCTCTTCCACGTCTCTCTCTCTTCCACGTCTCTCTCTGTCCCCCCAGGGATCGACCAGGGCCAGATGACGTACGACGGGCAGCACTGGCACGCCACGGAGGCCTGCTTCTGCTGCGCCCACTGCAAGAAGTCGCTGCTGGGCCGGCCCTTCCTCCCCAAGCAGGGCCAGATCTTCTGCTCGCGGGCCTGCAGCGCGGGCGAGGACCCCAACGGCTCCGACTCCTCGGACTCGGCCGCCTTCCAGAACGCCCGGGCCAAGGAGTCGCGGCGCAGTGCCAAGATCGGCAAGAACAAGGCCAAGGCGGAGGAGCCCCTGCTGAGCCCGCACGGCGCGCTGCCGGGGGGCGGCCAGCGGCTGTCGGCCGAGGTGGACCCCCTGTCGCTGCAGATGGACATGCTCAGCCTGTCGGGCCAGACGCCCAGCCTGGGCCGGGACGCGGTGTGGCGGAGCCGCGAGGAGCCCTTCCACTACGGCGGCCAGGCGGAGCAGGGCCAGGCCCCCAGCCCCCTGCAGCTGCTCGGCCCCTGCAACCTGCGCGCGGCCTACAGCCCCGGCGGCCCTGCGCCCGGCGCCCCGCCCGACGTGTGGCCGCAGCACTTCGGCAACCCCAAGAGGGCCGCGCCCTCGCTGGCCATGCAGGGCCACGGCGCCGGCAGCTTCGCCCAGGACTGCCGGGAGGACTACTACCCCGGCCGGCTGCGCTCCCAGGACAGCTACAGCGACATGTCCAGCCAGGGCTTCGGCGACGCCCGGGCCGGCATCCCGGTGTCCAAGTACGAGGAGGAGGAGGAGGAGCAGCAAGGGGGCCTGCCCGCGCAGCAGTGCCGGGCGCGGCGGCCCATGGGCTCGCTGAAGTACGCGGAGGACATGGCGGCCACCGCGCACACCCCGCGGGGCTCCATGGAGTCGCTGGCCCTGTCCAACGCCACAGGTAGGCCCGGCGCCCCGACACCGGACGGGAAGGGGGCCCCAGGGGGGCCGGGCGCGGGTCTCCAGGTCCGAGGGTGGCTCCGGCCACCTGTCGCTCCCACCCCCTCGGGGGCGGGGAAGGCAAGCGCGCTGTGCGTGGGGGCTCCTGCATTCGGGGACTTGCCCGGGAGGGACACCAGGGACACAGGGGTCTGGGAGGGTCGGGGCTGCCCGTGGGCCAGGTGGCTCCGCTGGACAGAGCAGAGGGGAGGTGCAGATGTGAGCTGATGTCACTGCCCCCAACACCCGTGTCACTGCCCCCAACACTGGTGTCACCGCCCCCAACACCCGTGTCACCGCCCCCAACACCGGAGTCACCGCCCCCAACACCGGTGTCACACTGCCCATTACATCGATGTCACCGCCCCCAACACCCGTGTCACCGCCCCCAACACCTGTGTCACTGCCCCCAACACCGGTGTCACCGCCCCCAACACCCGTGTCACCGCCCACAACACTGGGGACCCCGGCCTGGTGCTGCTTGGGAACACCAAAGCACGCGGGACAGTCTCGAGGCTGTTCTGAACCGCGGTTTCTCGCCAGGGAGCCAGTTGTCACGTGCAGAGAAAGACGCGGAAGAGACGTGTGGCCAGCCGAGGAGAAGGCAGGCTGGCCGGCTGAGGAGGACGGACGTGGGGACAGAGAGAGACAGTCTCAGGGTGTCTCCGTCCAGCCATGTTGTGTGGCTGGTGTGTGTGTGTGTGTGTGTGTGTGTGTGTGTGTGTGCGTGTGAAAACTGGCGCAGGTCTTCTCTGAGGGGCTCACGCTGGCCGAGAACCGTCACCCACCCTCCATGACCTGGGCGCTGGAACGCAAGGTGCTCGGGCGCTTTTAGGGCCGCTCAGCATCGCGGCAACATCCGACTGCGGGTCCCTGGGCTGGTGGTGTCTCGCGAGGTGCAGGCCGATCGGGCTGCCGTGGGACTCACGTGGTGGGTTGTTTGTGTCGTGTGCTGTCGATCACGCACGCTCAGCAGGGCCACGGCGTGCCAGAAATCAAAGCAGGCTGGTCCTTCACCACGGAGAGCTTGAAAACTAGGGCTATGAGGTGTGCCGAGTCTGCCTAAGCTCCTTTGTGGGCAGCGTGCCCGAGGAGGGGGGCATCTGGCTCCCCGTTAGAGCAGGGACCCCGCAACCAACAGTCTCTGCATGGAGACTGTGATAAGCGTGTGCACGTCAGCGCCACGCCAAGGGGACACCCACCGCCCAGCTCCAGCTGCGTGCTGCCATGTGCAGGGATATTTATTCATGCACCTGACGCTTGTGTAGCTCTTACTGTGTGCCCAGCACCGTTCAAAGCACTTTATAGATATTAGCTCGCTGCATCGAATGGTCCCATCACCAACAGAGGAGTGTGTTATCACTACGATTCTAATTTCAGAGTCGAAGAAACTGAGAAACAGAGAGGGTGAGGGACTCACTCGAAGCCACCCAGCTTTTACGTGGTAGAGCAGGGATCTGAACCTGTGCGTGGGACTCCAGCACCTTTGCACGAGGTCACACCAGGCTGCCAAGCGAGTGGCAGAACTTCTCGTTTTTTCCGGAGAAGTTTAAGATGTGAATTATTTTAAATGTCGAATCCTGAGACGTGTTCCTTCTGTGCCTAGTTTGTTGAGGGTTTTTATCATTAAAGGGTGCTGGACTTTGTCGGATGCTTTTTCTGCATCTACCAAGACGACCATATGGTCTTTGTTTTTGCGTTTGTTTATGTGGTGAATCCCGCTTACTGATTTATGTGTGTTGAACCATCCTTGCATTCCTGGGATGAAGCTCACTGGGTCCTGTTGGTTTACATTTTTGAAATTCAGTTTGCTAGCATTTTATTGCAGATTTTGACATCTTAATGCATAAGGGATGTTAGTCTGTAGTTTTGTTCTAGTTGTTGTTGCATGCTTTCCTGGCTCTGATATCAAGGCGATCCTAGTTTCGTAGAATGAGTTGGGGAGGATTCTCAATATTATGGAATATTATTATCCTTCTCAATGTTGTGGAATGATTTCTTCTGTATTGTGGATGCCAGTTCTTCTTTGTAGGTCTCATAGAATTCGGCCGTGAATCCATCTGATTCAGGGCTTTTGTTGTTGTTGTCAGGAGTTTTTTTTTATGACTGTTTCAGTCTAAATCCATTTAAACTCTCTGCTGGACAAGCAAAACTTGGCCCTGTGTCTGTAGGATGTCTATGCAGTGCGTTTTACCTTTTATTCCCCTCAAATTCTTTCACATCTGTGTTCCCATTTGTCTCAGGGCCAAAAGCAGATAGCCTTGCCCCCATATTTCAGATAAAAAAGAAGAAGAAGAGAAAACAATGAGGCCTCGGTGACTAAGCACCTTGCCTGATGTCGCAGAAGTGAGCAATCAGTGCAGAGCTATGACTGCCGGGCGTCCAGCCCAGGTTGTGCTATCCTCCGAAGATTTATGTGCTATCATGAGTTTAAGAGTCCAGCAGATACATACTTCAGCCTCTGAAGCCGAGTTTCTCAAAGCTAGACCACCTGCATTGGAATCGTTGGGGTGTTTGATTAAAATGCAGATTCCTGGGCCCTCCCCAAGTCCCTGCGTCAGGATTCTGCAGAGACGGGGCCCGGGAATCTGCATTTTAGCCAGCTCTCTGCTGATGCCGACATGCACCATTGTCTGAGCAGAACAGATGCACCTGTGGTTGTGTGTTCTGACTGTGCTGTGTTCATGTTACGACGGCCTATGAGGAAATCGGGGCTGGAGGCTGGAGAATATTGGAAAGGCCAAATGGGGAAGAACGGGGCATGCAATTTTTCCACTCCTGTGGAAGAGATCTTGGGCGATTTATCCTCCTGGTCTTCTACAGATCCTTGGGGAAAGCAACGAATGCCTCCTGGCCTCAGATTTTTAGAAAGCAACCCTCACTGCGTGTGACAAAACCAAGGGACAGAACTCCTAAGAGCAGCATTGTCCAATAGGGCAGTCACTAGCCACGTGTAGCTACTGAAATTTCAATTAAACGAAATTAAAATTTGGGGCCGTCAGTTGCACTCACTGGACACATTGAAGTGCTCGATAGCAATGGACTGAAGTTTAAATTTCATTTAATTTTTAGTGAATTTAAATTCCAATAGCCACAGGTGGCTGATAGGGACCCTGCTAGGTGGTACAGATGACAAGGTGATCTGATACGATGAGCATGATATGAAGCCCATGATTAGTTTCTAGAAGTCCTCACACGAGCCCTGGTTTTTTAGATTCTCCATTGACGCTTAGGAGAACTGGTTCTAGAGTCACATTCCATGGGTTCAGATCCAGCCTACATCATTTAGGAGTTACCTGCCCTCCAACAAGTCACTTGAACTCCATAAGAGTCACTTTCCTCATCTATGGAAGTACCGTGTGTGTTTCCCCAAAAATAAGACAGGGTCTTAATATTTATTTTTCCTCAGGAAGACACCCTGGGGCTTATTTTCAGGGGATGAGTTGTTTTTATTTTTAAGTACAGCACAACAGTCTCCATTGATTCAAATAGAGTGAAGTCGTCTTCTTCTGGAACATCATCCTCACTCTCCAAACCCTGAATCTCATCCTGAATGTCTTGCGACTCTATTTCTTTTAGAACCACTGGCCCCGATCTCTCCTGTCAAGCACTAGAGCTCTCATGGGGCAGATGAGAAGGGCTGCTCGTGTTCTTTCCCGCTCCGCGACGACATGCATGGGTTGTGCAGATGCGCTGCGTAGCCACTCCCGGCACTAGGGCTTATTTTCATAGCCATGCCCAGCACTAGGGCTTATTTTCGGGGTAGAGCTTCTATTGTTCACATGCTTAGACATCCTGCTAGGGCTTATTTGATGGGTAGGTCTTATTTTCAGGGAAACACAGTAGGTTAATAATAGTATAGAACTTCCTTTGCACAGTTTTTGGTAGGATTAAATGGCAAAGGCATCTAAACTCAATCATTCAATCATATACCCTTTGACACGTACGACCTTCAATAATAGTTCTCTGATACTTTTTATTATTATTAATTCTTTCTTCTTGTAAACATGCTGGTCCCCAGCTTCGGCCTCTAAATGTGTTTGGGCTGCTAACCTCCAGCGTCCACCAGCTGTGCAGGTTTGCATTTTGGGTTTGAAAACTGCTCTGCAAAATGCTCTGCAAATAGCAGTGGCATTCTGAACTGTCTGCATATCTTGAAATCCGAGAGTCTCAGTCTGAATACCAGGTCCCCATATGGACTCCTCCTTTTCCTAGCTAGCATGAGAAACAGGGAATTAGAGAAATTCATTTTTGTGGTCCTGGCGTTTCTATGGACCAGTCAGACATGCTATCGTGGAGGAAAGATTGTGCCTTATGTTCTAAGCACAGCTGGTCATTCTTGGCTGGTGCTGACCCTAAATAGCTGCATGCTACACCTCACACACGTGCACCAAGAACTAGACTTGGAATCTTGGCATTTTTGCTGCTGCCCCTCGCCGTTGCATTTGAATTTTTCTAGAAAGTTCGGTCGTCTTTCTGAACCGTCCGCAAATAGCAGTGGCATTCTGAACTGTCTGCATATCTTGCAATCCCGGAGTCTCAGTCTGAATACCAGCTACATCCTGCAAAAGTCTTAGTGAAAACACCTTGATCCTTCAGCTAAAGCCAGATTTCAAGATAATGGATTTAGTTTTTTCTCTTCCGTGGTCAGTGACTTATGTTATTGAGTAAAGTCTGTGATGTTTCATCTGGCGTGAAGCATGATCTTTTACTGAAGCATGATCTTTTCGTGGGCAGCGTTGTTCCCCAGAACAGATTTGAAAAAAAAAGAAAAAAACAGCCTCAGGGGCTTGCCAGCCTCAGATCTGGGCTTTGGCACGTCCCGATTTGTTTAGAACTGGGAGGGGAGTGTTCAGTCCCTGCTCCTCGGAAAACACAATCCATCCTTATGTTCACACAGGGTGAGTCAGGCGGGCTCAGTCCCCATTTACGCCACCACGGCGTGGGAGTGTCGCGGAAGCT